GCTTGAGCAGCATGAGCATTCCCTAACCGGGTTTGTTTCCACCTGGACTGAATAAATCTCTTCATGTCTCCAACACATGGTGGTTGTGTGGTTTTTGTTTCCAGTAACTTTGGGAGACTTCTTTTTGTAAGGCAACAGGTTGGGGAGGGAAATCAGATCGCCCTAGACCATCAGAGGTTGGGGAGGGCCCCTCCGTGGGTCCATTAAGGGGATGAGGCTGTGTGGGTGGTGCCTGAGCAAGAGTCACTCATGGGGTGGACTGCGGGCTGTCTATAATAGGTCTTTGAGTGCTTTGGGGGAGTGGGGGTGGAGAGAACGGATTCATTTACATGGGGTGTTGGTTCTCCAGGGTCATGCGCCTTACCTAGGCTGGAATCTAGGTAATTGGGTGATGGGTGTGTAGAATCACCCCTCCCTGGTGCAACAGGAGCTGGGTGAGATCTGCATGGTTGCATGGTAGGCAGTTGAAGCTACCAGGAATTCAGACTATTTGGAACTCATAAGGGCTAGTGGGCAGGGAATTAGGGTTTGCATGAGCTCAGCTGTTAAAGTGTGGGGAGGCGATAGCAAAGCTTGAAAGAAGCTTGGAAACAAGTAGAAGTTCTGCTTGCTTTGAGCCAAGGGCTGTAGGAGCTCCCAATAAACCTGCTACAGGCTTCCTCCTGCCCGTGTTACAGACCATAAGAGGTCCAGGAAGGCAACACTATCCTGCATGTGTGTTGTGAACGCAATTCAGCCAGTGCTTCCTCCAGAGTGCAGCTGGGCTGAATGCTGCCCGTGTTGGCATCAGGGCAGCCAGGTCAACCTGGGGATGTCTAGGGAGTGCAATGATGGGTGCTGTGTTCAGATAAGGTGGGGGATACTGGGGTGGGGGCATACTGTGCATTGAAAGTCCAATGGACCCCCCCGCCCCCCCACTATCATCCCAATTCGACCTTGCAAGTCTGGCTAGAAGAGAGAATGTACACTGGTACAGATAGGAACTGGAAACACGGAATCCAGGGCAGTTGATCCCTTCAGGACCAGTGGTGTGAGCTGGGATACTGGGAGGATGGGTTGGAAAGGGAACCAATTACAAGGATCTACATGTGACCTCCCTGTGGGACAGGGCAAGATATGACAAAATAATTTATGAATTATGTGTTCATGAGGGAGCGGGGAGAGAAGGGGAAAATGAGCTGATGCCAGGCGCTTAGTGGAGAACAAATGTTTTGAGAATGATGAGGCCAATGAATATACAAATGTGCTTTACACAATTCATGTATGTATGGATTGTGATAAGAATTGTATGAGCCCCTAATAAAGTGCTTTAAAAAACCTTAATCCACTGCTGGTGCAAAAAAAAAAGACAGCTCGAACTCTGAGCTCCTTAAAGGTAGCGTCCCAAAGGAAGTGTTTGTTTGCGAGTCTGCCTACCAGGGTTTGCTGCTGGAGACACCAAGCATTGACTGTGCTGAGCCTTTGTCTTTATTCTGAGTCTTCCTAATATGTTTTGCTTCTCGCCCTGCCTTTTCGGCCCGTAGTTGAGAAAGAGCTGCAAATGGTTTACTGAAGGGGTTGGAGAATGCTTTTGACAGTCCTGGGTTCAAATCCCAGTACCACCAATTGCCAAGGACCTAAAGAAACAGAACAGCAAAAACACATTGATCTATGTTCATCTGCGTGCCATTTTCCCTTGTCCAAGAGTCCACCTTTCAATACTGTTCACGAAT